CAAATTCTACTGTTCCTAATATTCTGTATGTTGCTCAAAAACAATATATTGTGTTCAGCATACTGTCAAAATCTCATACTGGCCCATGCCTACATATAATGTTTTACACACACGCATAAATAAAACATTCAGTTTTTCAGTACTTTCCTATTTTTGGTCAATATATATATATATATATATATATATATATATATATATATACACACATACATAAAAGACTGTTCAGAATCAAGTATTTGTAGATAGTGTGTACTAAATAATAATGGTGTAGTTTGGTGCCAGTAAGTTTGCCTGAAGTTCTGCTTAATTAGCTTTTTGGGGTGTTTGAATATTTCACTAGCTTTTTAACTTGACCAAAAGGTCTGTGTACTGAGGTATATAATGACCTAATGTGAATGGATAAGATTGCTGTGGTCATTTAGCTTGCCACATCTAACCTGAATAGAGACTAGGGCTGGACGATATGGCCAAAATTGATATCACGATATATTTCTTAATTTCGGTCGATACGATATAATTCCGATATCGATATGAACACTATTTATCTGAACTGCAGAAAATAGCCTATAGTGGCATTAATATTGATGGCTGGTGCAGTATTTCTCTTTGTGCTGATCCATTAGGCTCTTTAAGTCAGATTCTTTAAAGGAGAATGGCCTGTCATTACATCTTTACAATGAAAGGCATAATATCTTGTCCTATTTTTCATGCTGACTAAAATCAACCATGTTTATTTGTCATCACTGTTTATTTCAGTTTCTCTTTTTTTCATGCATGTATTTTGTCCTTCTCATTTTCCTGTTATCTGTTTGTTTCCCAGCATTTTGTTTCAAGAATTTCTTTAATGATCTCTGCAGAATTTAAAGAAGCCTTCCTTCTGTTTGACCGGACGGGAGATGGGAAGATCACCTATAGTCAGTGTGGGGATGTGATGCGCGCACTGGGTCAGAATCCCGTTAATGCAGAGGTTCTCAAAGTCCTGGGCAACCCAAAGGCAGAAGGTAGGACAAGACACTATGGATAATGGCTGACCTGTATAATCATTGCCTTAATATCATGTCTTATCTGGTCTCTTTCTGTATTTTATAGAATAAGATATTTCAATGCTCAACAGTATGAATTTTTATCTGCTCGGCTGGTTGTTCAGATTTGTGCTTGCCCTGCCAATATTTTTCTGACCTCACAACAAAAATATACACTTTATTTTTAGTGGCATATATTAATTTATAAAAAAAATGATTACATCACTTACTCACCAATGAATCCTCTGCAGTGAATGGGTGCCGTCAGAATGAGAGTTCAAAGAGCTGATTAAAAACATCACAATAATCCATGTGACTCCAGTCTATCAGTTAAGGTTTTGTGAAGTGAAAGGCTGAACTGTTGAACTATTGAAAAGGGTGTTTAAATGCATAAAAACATGTAGTGACAACAGCACTGGGCTGTTATCTCAACTGACCCGAAACTCTTTCACATTAGCCCATCATTATTTTTAAGCCCTGTATTTGTGTAAGAAGTAATATTTTGCTTAACTATGATAATTATAGTAGTAGTTCTCTCTTCCTGGATAATATGGAAATAAATGCTTTCTTGTCTGATTAAAGATTTCTTTGTTCCTCAGAAATGAACCATAAATTGCTGGACTTCGAACAGTTCCTGCCCATGCTCCAGGCCATTGCTAAGAACAAAGACCAGGGCACGTTTGAGGACTTTGTGGAGGGGCTTAGAGTATTTGACAAGGAAGGCAACGGCACAGTCATGGGTGCTGAGCTCCGCCATGTTCTCACCACACTGGGTAAGCCGGCCTGGTCTCCCAAGAAGATATTTATAGCCCACTCCTCCACATCTAGGCCACTGAATTTAGACATGGTTGAATTGAACATTATGGTGTATTGGTATAATTGCGTATAATATAAATATATATGTATAGTGCTCTAATTGCGAAACATATATACATGGGTTTATTTATTTTCTTTATAGGAGAGAAGATGACCGAAGAGGAGGTAGAAGCGCTTCTAGCCGGACACGAAGATGCTAATGGTTGCATCAATTACGAAGGTAAATAACTGAGTTTGATTATGCATATACGTTCATGATGAGAGCACTCACTGTTCTACGAGCCTAGTAGTTTGTCTGTACACACCTTAATAAAAGTACATTTGAATACAAAATAGATCATTGTGCTGGGAATTACATGATTGTATGAATGTATTATGTTTATGCACCACAATGGAAGAAAACATTATATGCATATGCAAGTTCTTTTAGCGAGAATCCGATCTTGAAGCATGCCGTAACTGTAACTGATCTTCCACAGCCTTTGTTCGCCACATCATGTCTGGCTGAGAGATGTCTCGGGTGTACGTCTACCTCCTGCCCTCAACATTTATAACACGTGAAGCAACAATCCATCCAGGCTTTTTCGTTAAAGCTCTCAGATGCGCGTGATTGCATAGTCCACACCAGTGGTTCTCAAACCTGTCCTGGAGTACCCCCAGCACTGCACATTTTGTATGTCTCCCTATATCTGACACACCTTACAGCAGGGGTCTCCAAACTCGGTCCTGGAGAGTCGGTGTCCTGCAGAGTTTAGCTCCAACTTGCCTCAACACACCTGCCTGGAAGTTTCTAGCATGCCTAGTAAGACCTTAATTAGCTTGTTCAGGTGTGTTTAATTGGGGTTGGAGCTAAACTCTATAGGACACCGGCCCTCCAGGACCGAGTTTGGAGACCCCTGCCTTACAGTCTCCACTAATGAGCTGATGAGTTGAATCAGGTGTGATAGATGAGGGAGACATACAAAATGTACAGGGCTGAGGGTACTCCAGGACAGGTTTGAGAACCACTGGTCTACACCTTATTATTTTGCTACATTCAACATAATATATACATGCACAGGGTAGCTGTGCAATATGTGACGTCTAGAGCTAGAAAGCCTGGTTGGATGTAGTTTGAAGGTTTTGACATATGGTTGGACTCTTCCCTATCTCTGCAGCAGCCTTTCCTCTGGCTGCAGCATGCTCTCTGCATGTGGCCGTCCCTGCGACGGCTCTCAGAGGCGAAAGGGCGACTGCACTGCTTCAGACTTGAGCGCATGTCAAGGGTTGTAGCATAACAGGGTGTACCGCTTTGAAAAGCATTTCATTCAGTCTTAGATTTGTCTTTTGATATCAGCTCACTCCCTCCCTGTGCTCACCAAGCAGTGTGGTTGCTTTTATTATGAACTAACCAATCAAATTGCAGTGATTTGGCTGTTTTTGCTGACCTTTTCTGACCCTTTTCCTGATGGAGGCTGATCCATAGCTCAACTCTAAGATCTCTCATTACTGTAGCTGTGCTATAAAACCGTTTCCACTCTTGCCCTGTAGAGGAAAACCAGAAGGAGCTTCTTTGACACTGTGTGCTGTAGTTGGGGTCGATCCCCTTTTTGACACAAATTGGAAACTAACTTTGTTTTATTTTTTTATTTTTCTACAGAACTCGTCCGCATGGTCATGAGCGGTTGAAGATAAAGGCCACAACTCATTTGTTTGTCTTATTTTATATGTAATAATTTCTTTATATGCATTTTGTTTTTTTCCTATTCATTCCGTCACCTTCATTTGCTTAATGGCTCCAGTCCTTCGCTTGTGTTTGCACTCATTTGGGTATTATTATTATTAGAAGTGCCTTTATCTTCTTTAAGTTCCCATATGACTCTCCAAGAGGTCCACCTCCTGTCCTGTGGTATTCAAACCATTAAGCGATATGAAAAAGATCTCTTGTGTGCCGACTGGTCTGCAATAAAACCTCTCGATGCAAGACATTAGCAGTGTGTATGCAATATCCAGTGTATCCTCAGGCATCTCTGCTGGACTGTGCTGTAGTAGAAATGTCGTGTCTGGCCAGACTTTTATTTTTGGCCTTTTCAGAATAAGTTACCTTTTTCAAATATCTTTGAGCTGGTGGTTTAGTAGGAGCTAGCCATGATCTTGCTCTCACCCTGTTTCTCACCACTTATGAACGAGTACAACTGGGGAAAGGCTTCCAACTACAGCAAAAGTCGCAGGCTAAAGGCAATTTTTCAAGGGTCGATGAGGTTATGTGAAGGGCATTTGGATGCTATTATTATTATAAAAATTATATATTTTGTAAAGGCATCTCTGCTGGACTGTGCTGTAGTAGAAATGTCGTGTCTGGCCAGACTTTTATTTTTGGCCTTTTCAGAATAAGTTACCTTTTTCAAATTGAGAAATTATGAATCGGAAATGCAATAACATTTTAATTAACTTGGAATGTTGTCACTGTCCAATAAAGTACATTTTAAACAGACACTACTTGTTTGTCTTAATTTCAGATTCTTCCAGAGTCTTGTTTTAAAGATTGTAAAAAAAATGGTTGTAATATGTTCCCTAAATGTACAGAGCTTTGAGTGCAGTTGAAGTTGCCTCTCTCCTGTTTGCAGATAGATGGCAGTGTTCTTACACTTTGATGAAAGCTGAACTTGTTGAAATCAAAAGTGACTTTTTTTTTAATAAATCTTGAATTCTTTAAAACTTTCTATTCATCAAAGAATCTTGAAAAAAAGAGATATCACTGTTTCCATAAAAATAATAAAAATGTTTATTGATCACCAAATCAGCATATTAGAATAATTTCTGAAGAATCATGTGAGACTGAAGACCGTAGTAATGACTGCTGAAAATATCGCTCTGCCATCACAGAAAAAAATTATTAAAATATATTAAAATTTATAAAACTTTTATTAATAATTGTAATAATCCTATTTTTTTAATCAAATTTAGTGGTTTTCGTAATGCTGTCTCTTAATAACCATCTATTTATTTGTATAATGACATGTATAGTTTGTAAAGGCTTTGCAAGTGTCTGTCTGTATTACTGTCATATATATCTCTGTATCTGATCGTATATCTCTATTGAAAAAAAGTCATGCTTTTTTTATAGGTAAAAGAACATCATATAAGATGTAATCTGAGGGTTTGTTTGGGTGTGCTGAAATACCCCATGATGCATTGTGTGCCGAGAGGAGCCCATCAACAGCTCACTGACCTTTTCTCTCTCTCCGCTCGGCAGCAGTCAGAACTATTCCCCCCTCATTAGACGGCACACACTCTCCGAGTGAGAGCCAAGTATCATAGACCAGTGGTGAATAGGTCCTCCACTAATTACTGAATTCATTTTGCGCGGATTTGTGTGGATGTGCATGCATGTCTGTTTCTGTGCGCACTTGTGCGAATGTGTTGGAGGCAAGTGAAGTGTATTGATTATTTTAATCTGCCTATTTGTGAGTCTGTGATCCTCGTGGCTCTGCATTCAACAGGGGAATCACTAATGGGCCTCAGCGCAGGCCGCCTCAGACCTCTCCCCGTCCAATTAACTTTCAACTGGAATCTGGCAGGAGAGCGTGAGGAGGCTGGCCACGGACACACTGAGATCCCCCACACATTCCCACAGGCTACAGATTCACCAAAGCCTCAAGGCCGGATTGTCATTACCTATCGCTTTTAATTAAAGTTTTCTCTCTTCGTTTTAGCCATGACATGCACAGGTAGAATCCTAGTATTGTTCATGTCGTTGTTCTTGTTTTTCTTTTCTTTTTTGTCTCTCCAAGACACTGAATTTTCATTAATAGAACTGTCTGGTAAACTTTTTTTTCTTAAATGATTGTAGTAAAGAATATACATGACACGAGGAGGCTGGCCACGGACACACTGAGATCCCCCACACATTCCCACAGGCTACAGATTCACCAAAGCCTTAAGGCCGGAATGTCATTACCTATCGCTTTTAATTAAAGTTTTCTCTCTTCGTTTTAGCCCTGACATGCACAGGTAGAATCCTAGTATTGTTCATGTCGTTGTTCTTGTTTTTCTTTTCTTTTTTGTCTCTCCAAGACACTGAATTTTCATTAATAGAACTGTCTGGTAAACTTTTTTTTCTTAAATGATTGTAGTAAAGAATATACATGACAGAAATAATGTTTGCCATATTTATATATATATATATTGTTATTTTAGTATTCACCTAACATGTTGCAAGGTTTTTGTATAGTCAGCTGTACAAATGTGACATAAAAATGAGGCAGAGATATTTGAATATTATTTATTATTGAATTGTTTATGAATAGGGAATGTTTTTGGTGTTTTGACATGTTATTTGTATCAGTGTATTTGCACATGGCACGACTTGGATCAACAACTCCTTCATGCTGTATTTCTTAGAAAAATGTATCAATACAGGTTATGAATCTGTATTAAAATTCCAATTTAAAATGTTTAGGGACACAGTTTTTCAGATTTATCATTCAAACCTTTGGCCTTTTTTATTTGATGAGATTTCTCATGAAATAGCAACCTTACTGGGCTTGATATCACAGAAAAATGTATAGAGCTTGATTTATAAATGTGTAACTTCTATAAAAACATATTCTAAAATATAATACATACAAACTCATTGATCACTGTGCAAGTGTATTGACCACCATGTTCCTTCTCTTAAATGTGATGTAGAAATGCTACATTTGAAATATATTCTCTTTTAGTGGCCAGAAATTAAATTAATTTCTTAGAATTTTGCTTGCCTATTTTATCTTAAATTGAAAATCAGTAAATCTACAATTTCTGTGTAAATAATTCTGTAACATAATGCTGATATGATATAAAATTTATACTTCCTTGTCAAGTGTAACATTTTGATTTTGATTTCAAACCAGAGTAGAGTTTTATATTGTAATCTCTTTTATCAGACTTACACAGAAGGGAACAACATCCTCCCCTTTAAAAAGCATGAAATCATTTCATTTATTTGTGTGATTAAAACATTGTATTTGGTTAAATTTGAATAGTCAAGAGTCTTATTAGCCTAAATCAATACATCAATGTTCTGGTCTGGCTCATATTCTTTAGACTGATTGGAGATCTATCTATCTGGTTGTAGTGAGCCATTGTGTGTAATTACACTCCTGTGTGTCCACGTGCATTAGCCATATTTCCAATTCCACACAGACAACCAAAGCAGTCACTTTAAGTCAAATAAATTGAACAAGAAGACTTAGATTAATCACTAGCCCTGTGACGTGTGTGCACGCATATATACATGCCCGTATTGCGCTACGGCTCCGTCTAGTGAGTGAAAATTACAATTACGCACTGATTTTCTTTCAGGTCCAGCCATGTGTAAATGCAGCTCAGTTCACCATGAAGCATGTTGACTAGTGAGTTTGAATATCTGGTTTTGATTGACACACACAATGGAGACAAGTACACTAACAAGTACACATGAAAATATGAGTGTGTCACTGTCCAGGATAGATATATAGACATATATTTATATGCATTTTAATTTAAGTTTGGGAGTAGTGTATAATGTATGATAGTTATAATTTACACACATACAAACAGTGTGTCACATATTCTCTTGCCTTATGAAAGGAATTGGTTGCGGTTATGTCTGTCAAGCCCTTCTGCTCCGTATAAACCATGTCTATTTCTTTCAAGCCTGTTCGGTGTGTGTACGTAACTGTATGAGTGTGTGTGAGTGTGTGTGTGTTCATACACAGTACATTTGAGTAGCATCATGAGCAGGTCAGTCAGCATAGATGAGGAAACCAGAGAACGTGCTGTATTTGTTGGTGTTTCCTCCGTGGACTTTCCCTCCGTCCAGCTGCACACAGACCTCATCTCCTACGTCTAAATGCAGGATCACACTGTTGGAGGCGTAGTCATAATTCTGATCAGCGTCCTGGGCGATAGCGCTGGCCCTCACCTGTCACACATGGGAGAAATGAAGCCATGGTTAGAGGAAGGACACAGAGCAGATCGCAACAATTTACAGATTAGATTCCCAATATTCCAGTACACTTGAATGATACTGAAATGTAGACGAAGCACTAAAAATATTTATAATCATTTAGTGATGATCATTAGACTAAACAGCAAAATATGACTAAAGCACAACATCATGAAGTGTGACATTTGGAGCTTTTAAAATGACGCAACAACTTCTGACAGTGAAATTTATTATAAATAAGCACAGACTGCATTCGGTGACTTTTTCATTATCATATATGAAAGGAGAAATTAATAAGTATGTTTTTTGATGTTTTTAAAATAAATACAGAAACCACTATAACACCATTTTGAGCTTGGAAAAATTTGGATTTGTTAAACCTGTAGAACTTAATAGACACAATTTAATATTAGCACAAATGAATAATTTGATATAAAAGTTATGTCATATTAATAATAATAAAAAAATTTTTTTTAATGTAAAACATTTAATTAACAGACAAAAATAATGAATCGTAATTGATTTCAAGGACTTTCCTTCTTCTTTGTAGGAAAAAAATGTTCATTTTTTTTTCTTCAGACTCCATATGCATTTTTAAATAAGTTAAAAAAACACCATAACAATTTCCAGCTTGGAAAGATTTTTTTTAATTAAAGAAGAGAGAAAAAAATATATAAATTTTTTTTAAATAATTAAAAATATTTTATTATTAAAAATAATAAACATAATAATTACACATTTTTAAATTAAATTAATAGACTAAAATAAGGAATTATAATTGATTTCATGATCTTTCCAGTTCCTTTTTAGGGAAAGAAAAAAATAGTTAGATTTTTTTTTTTCACATTACAGATTATATGCTTTTTTACAATAATGGCAGAAACCACTATAAAACCATTTCCAGGTTGTTAAGATTTTGTTTTGTTCTACAGAACTAAGATAGATAGATAGATAGATAGATAGATAGATAGTTTAATTAATTATTATATTAAACTATTAAACTAATTAATATGGATTATATATTAACATTATATATTAATAATAAAGCTAAATGAAATTATGTATCATATGATTTAAAAGGAACACATTTCTGGTAAATGTTGATAAATTGGTGCTGTGAAGGTGTAAAAAAAGGTTGGAAAATACTGCGCTATAACCATATCTCTACATACAGATGCTCTCTTGCATGAAAGAGGCCTTGTTTTATCCTCTCTATGGCAGTGTAATGGAGTCATTATTAAATGATACTCTGACAAGGGCTGGTCGGGTTAAATGGATGGGGCTGCAGATAGCCTGCTGACCTCCACCTCAATTGAGAAAGCAGTCACACTCAGTCTCTCCTATTTATCTACTGTAGGATCGTGTAGCTAGACCTATATAGGTGATGCTAAATCTGTACTATATCCCTTCCTCATATTGACCTGTAGAATTTAATCACAAGCGCACGTATCATGCAAACCGCAATGAGACTGTTTACTGGAGACTTGAACTCATTTAAATTCTGCTTGAGAGATCAGCCGTATTGACTCCCAGCAGTGGATCTGAAACTTGTTTGTTAACATTTTAAATTGAGATTAGTCATGTGGTCAGACAGACGTACATTCCTGCATAAAGATGCAATTAAAAAGGACCAATACCTGTGATAAAACAGATACAAATATACTGCATTAAAGTTTCATATCCTTGCAATACAATTTAGACATTAGCCGTGTGATATTTTATCATCATTTTTTAGTATCTTAGCTCAAGTATTCTAAAAAGAAAAACAGCGTAATGTTTTAGAAGACAGGTGTCAGATGACAGACAGTGATTGTCAGGCATTTTGCTCAGTCGTATTATAGCCACTCAATCTCTATCAGGTTTCCTAAATATATGGAGCGAGTCTATCCTAGGAAAAAAATACAATGATATGCATGGTGTCAGTAAACATCCTCATATAACATGCCATCACTCACTCAAATGCCTCTTGTTTTATCGGGTGTGTTATTACCCTGAGAAACACCCACAACCACAGCCCATATAAAACACACTGACCCCAGACCGAGATAAACTCCTTCCCATATCTGTAATCTAATAGCCCCACTCCATTACCATCACGATACTGTCAACGTCTGCACAATGTCCTGAGTGGAGACTACCGCCATTTAGATGCTTTATTGAATACCAATCTGTATAATGATGTTAGGGAGGTTTAAAATGCAGCACTGTAGGACAAATATATCAGTTTTAAATGTATTTTGCAGAGCAGTGATAGATATTTGTCATTTGCAATTTGAAAAATACCCTTGCACGTTTTCACAAGCATGTGTAGAGACATGCAGCTTCAAAATGGACTCTATTTGCAAAAAAAAAAAGAAAAGAAACCAGTAAATGACCAGTGACTAAGTAATGACCAGTGATCAACCAATATTGGATTTACATTGGTTATTTTAAGTGTTCATCATGAGAACTGAGTTTTAAAATATTTATTTTATTTTACGACAATAAAAAGCATAACATTAACTGTGAATATTATTAATAACAGTAGTAGTCAAAACATCATAATGAAAGATGTTTTATTCATCAGAATAATAGTAATTATTATTGATCATATTAATTATAATAATTAAATAATAAATTAAATATATTAATAAAATCATGAGTTATAATAATAATAATAATTTTTGCTATTTAAATTGTCACATATATTTTCTTTTTTATTGTAACAACAATAATAATAGGTATTATTACAAATATTATTTATTACTTTAATTATAATAGTTAAATTAAATCTATTAATAAAATCACAATGAATATACTACTACTAATGCAATTGTTGCTATTTAAATGGTCACAAATATATTTAAATAAATAAATAGGTTACCCAACCTCTGAGTACTGTTGTTGGGTCCTACTTTTAAACAACTCAGCAAATGGTGCCCTTTATCTGAGCACAATATAGATCTGTAGTTATATTAAACATCTAATAACTGATTAAGTTATTGTGTCAATATCATTTAGAATATATATCAGTCATGGCAAACTCTAATATGGCTGGACGTTTAGATGTGTAAACAATCATATTATTTCACCTGAAGATATTCATTGTGTTGATGTGTTGATGTGAACAGCATTTTTGGCTTGTCCCTGTTCAGTCTGCATCAAACAGTTGTGTTGGGTTGCCAGTCCCTGGAGAAACCCCTATTCCAACTATATCTCACATAAAAAAAAAAATCCACATCCAGATCTAACACCCACACTACAGTGATCTACAGTCATTCTCCTCATTATTTTGGTTAAGTGGGCAAAGGGGCAGTTTCTCCCTCCGGCATACCCCTGTGTTCGATACGACAACGCGAGCGGTCACTTTAATTAGCAGACATCCGGCAAAGACCCTTTAAGACCTTTCTTCGCTTCAATAATCTAAATATTGAGTTGGTGAATGAATGCTGTCATTGGTATGCGTGACTGAATACCAACTAGTGCAACAATTATATTTTCTTTATAGTACACGACAAAGTATGTCACATCTGAATTATTTTTACTGCAATGACACAATGACTTAAAGGGGTCATATGATGCTGCTAAAAAGAACATTACATTTCCGGTAAACTGTCAAAATCAACTGTGCTATAACGGGAGCGCCCCTTTGCTCGGTTTCTCTACATAATCCATTCAAAATATAAAGAAAAGTTTTGTTTGTATAAGAGGACCAAACATCCACGTGTACAGTTACAGGAATGACCTCTGTGGAATGAACGTGAGCGTAAAAAATTAAGTGAGTGAATCCGCTCAGAGCTGTGCATTAAGTGATTCAGAATAAGTTCAGAGTAACAAACTACAGCAGTAACAAATCTGTTGGCTGAATATATTTAGCAGCTTCTAGTTAAAAATAAAACTTAAAAATGTAGTTTTTAAATTAAATTTAAAAATATTTAAAAATATTTAATGGATTATTATTTAATTGTTATACCATTAATAATTGAACTTTAATTTATAGTTAATTAGTTAAGTATTTAAATAATTTACCCTTCTAGGCTGTTGGTGTCTGGGCTTATTTTTATTTTTTTTAAATGACATGAGACTTTGTTATAATATTTGTTCTAATAGTAATTTCATAATAAATCCAAAAGCAAGACGTGAAAAAAACTAGGGAGTTGAAATGGCAACTGAGCTAATGAGTGATCCTCTGCTGTCATCTACTGGTTATAACGGTAATTTCATTGTAATTTCATCTTAAAAGTCTTTGTTTTCCGCCAGGAGACATTTTTGGCAAATTTTTTCATGTCATCTTTATGAATGAAAAGTGAAACTTTAAAGTGAATTTTACTGCACAGCTGTAGAGTTGAGAAATAATAAAGGTTTTAAAATATTATAAGTGTTTTAAAAATGTGTTCAAGACTATGAAGGTAAGTTATTGATTATTAATATGGTGTCGTTTACGAGATAGCATCGCTAGCTAGCTAACATTAGCCTAAACAGTAACGATAGTGTTTAGTTGTCAGCAGTTATCATTATTTACAGTGTTGCAATTAATTTGTTTCTTAGTTTCTGACAAGAACGAGGCAGGAGAGATTTCTGTGAGGGTCTCAAGAGTCTCTACCTATATATACCACAACATCAAATGACACTTCACCGGAAGTTTATGAGCTGGTTTATTTATGCGGAAGTTCTAAAGAACGCTCCGTGCATATGGTCAATTAAAAGGCGCGCAATTAGAGATCACCACAATTAGAGATGACCAAAGACACTCATTATATTTCTACCGGACTATGTACATGTCACTGCACTGGGAGACATTTATTAGAGCAGGTACTGGTCATTAACAGACAGACGATGGCATTTTTAACACTAGCGTGTAAAAGAGCTCGACCTTTTGGAGGTCTATTAAAAGAGCGTGTGACAGGTGAAAAAGGGGAAAAAGAAATGGTGGAACGATTAAGCAACAGAAAGGACAGAGTGTAGATTAGTCTACTTTGAACAGAGGTTCAGACTAAGGTTTGGGAACCTACATCGAAGCTGAGGGACCATAAATTAAAAGATTAACAGCTCACAGCACGTTAATGATGAGGAAGAAGCATGTAGATGCTAAATCAGAGATGATGTATGACCCTGGTGTCATATTTTGACTCGCAGTAGCATTAAGGCAAACAAACCATAATTCTACAAGCTCGATAAAAGCGCCACCAATAACGCTAGCAGCATCAAATCCTTTTAACAAATCTCTCCATATGTTTATAGACCTTTATGCAGTTATTCCTTCAGCAGAGGACTTATACAGAATAAAAATTAGAAGTTATTATTAAATGATGTGCGATTTTTGACCCTAACGACACTGGGATGGGATCTGACAAGTAAAAATCTGTTCTTGCAAAAAAAAAAAAAAATCTGTTCCCTTCGGTTGTAGCAGATGCTGTGATACAGTGGCTAAATGCACAATGATGAAATTTCATTATGAATCTCCTTCAGTGGGCAATATACCAAATTAATTACAAGAAAAATGAAGATGACCTCATTAAATATTGAAGAGGCCACTATTATGATCACACCACTAATCCTTTCCATCTGTAACTCAACAAATGAATTATTGTAACAAAAAATGACATATTCATCTACTATGATATATTGGTACAGTTTAAGTACAGATAAACAAAAAAAATTACTAAACATAAACAAAAAGGCAGTGAAATAAGGGTCACTCTTTAGTTAGTGACATGTTTTAAATTTATTTAAAAAAAATAAATAAACAGAAATGGATTGTTTCTTAATTAAATTTTCTTGTCACATCTCATTTCCACCATAAACAAATCTGACATTGTTTCGAAAGCCTCTTTTTTTTTCTAAAATGATGTAACAAATGATATGTGTTATAATGTATATATTATATATTCAAATATATAATGTTATATATTTCTTTTTTTATATATATAGTGTACACTGTCAATAAAACAGTTATTGGCATTGTCAATTAAAAATTTTAATTCAATTTAATTACAAATTCTAATTAACTTGTAGAAATTGTAAAACAGAGGGAAAGTCAAAAAGTCTGGGTGTGTGACACCCAAAATAGTTAAGTCAAATTTTGACCTTTAAAAAAATTATATATAGGAAAAAAGTTATTAAAGAAACATAATGAAAATTGAATATAATCTATTGTTTTTTTAAAAACGTTCTCTCTAAAATCAAGAAAAAGTCCTGTAATTGAATCATCATCCCTATAAGACAGATTTAAATGATATCAAAGATTCTTTAGTTTTCAGTCCTGCTGACCTGTGACCTTTCTATGATTACCACCTACATCATTTCCATTTCAGGTGGTACCAAAGGGTGCTAACTCACAATCATTCAACAGTGACACTCTCACCACACTCCTGGGACACTTTAGCCTCACACGTCTGAGGTCCGACAACGAGCAGACCATCACAATGGCACCAGTCGGTATCAAGAGACCAGCTTTCACTATCTGTCAAAACCACTGCACAGACAATGATCAGCCAGATGGTCACACGGGCCTGCAACCAGGTACGGAAACATGCATGCCACACTCTAGAGGATACCTGAGATACTTTTTTTCTCTTAATTAGCACCCTAACATTCACAGACAGTCATTATTAGCAAACAAATGCTAATGTCAGGATCCAGTCTTTTTATCTTTAAGATGCCTTGTTAACCTGTCAAACCATGACATGTTTGGTGCTTCTCCATCTGTCTGTGGCTCTGTATTCATTTTTGTCCATGCGTACAAGCCTCCCAGAAGTCTCGTCTCTCTGCCCACTGTCTGCAGCTTTCTATTAAGCCATCTATCTTCCTTTCCTTCCTTGATCTTTCTGTCAACCAGCCTGGGTGATTCTGCCATACTCTTAACTGTCATGGCTACCCTTGCGTCCTTCTCTCAGTCTGTCTCACAATTCACTTGTGCACTTGAGCTTGTGAGCTGCCCACTGGGGTGCCATACTGAACATGGCCACAACAATGAAGATGTGAGATGACTGTCTCAAAACTTGTTTTCAAGATGAAGGATAAAAACTATGATATATTTCACTGCTTATTTTTTCTATTTTGGTCTTGTTCCTTTACAGTTTCTCCTGTAAAATTACATATTTGTGAGTGTTTCTTCACTTTTATTGATGTGGGCTTTTAAAAATTTAATTCCCTTAAAACACACTTTTCTCACTAGTTTAATTCATTTGTCTACTAACAATGTTCAATATAAAATATAAGCATTAAAATTATCAATCTTATTTTAGGTCATAGTTCTAAAAACATAATATTTTTAGGATGGATTTTCATATTTTAATGTTGAAAACATCTGGATCTGGCCAAGGGTAAAGCAATAAACTCTATACATAAAGGCATTAGAATTTTTTTAAATAAAAAATTAATTGCAATTTTTTTTTCTAATAATACAGATTATCATTATTTTATGATTCTGAAGAAAAAGATTATTTCAGTGAAAAATCCTAACAAAAAGATATCTTTTCTTAAGTCTATTAAAAAAAATAAACAAAAAGAAGTATGTGAATCAAAATATGTACACAAATATGTAAATCAAAAATTGCCTATAGTAAAAGTTTACATAAAATATTCTGCATTTTAAGGTAATATGCAGACCACTGAAACACTACAAATGTTTATTAATCTGAACTAAATAATTGTTTAACTTGCTCCTAAAGATTGTTACTTGTTTTATTTCTGAATGAATCAACGTTTTTAAATGAATCAGTTGAAATGAGTGATTCAATGAGTCACTCATAATCACTTGTTGCCACCTACTGGTGTAGTGAAATCTGAAAGGACAGCTATCTGTGGCACAGTTTTTTTTCCGCATGGGATTTTGAATTGAAATTGTGATCTCTTAACGAATAATCATGAAGCTGCTTCATAAGCTATAACACAAAATTTTACCTAATAGTGTTTTAGTTGAAGAAACACCCTTATATGTATATTCGAAGAAGAGTCTACATCCATTCATGAGTAAAACTGCACAATGGTGATTCTCCACTCCAAAGCCTTTGAATTTCTGTGAACTCTGTGTTTCGGAAATTGGCCTATAATATTCAATAGACATGGCTGTTTGAACATCATTTTGTCAGCATTCAAAAATAACCTTTTACAAATTAACATAAACCTCCTAATCCCAACGGACCATTGTCTGCTTTCAGATGACACATCTGAGAATTCCAGTCTCTCAGCATCTGTCAAAAAAATCTAGCATCCTTTTCACTTTTACATGCTCTGTACTGTCCATAGGTAACTGCACAAATCAGCATCCTATGAGCTCTTTAAAATCTTAAAGGCTACAAAAATGGAGCATCACAAATGGACTGCTAACTGTATTTTAGGTGCTTGGGGAAGTGTCATTCCATTTGCAGTTTATTTGGTGTAGTGAGCAGTTAACCCACACATGTCTCTATTACATTTCTGGTCCTACAGAGGAGTGAAGCAGTGCCACCTGATGTGCTCGAAATGGACGTAATTGAGTGGACCGAAAAGATAATTAATGAGCAATCAATGAACATGCAATAGAAGGGGGCACGTATAGCATGCAGGGGATTCAATCTAAGAGTTATGAATGATTTAACAGAGGAAGCAGACTTGCATGACAATACAAAACTGTACAGGTCAGACCAATTTAATCTACTATGTCTCTAATCAATTTTACAGGTGGTCCACTATATTAAACCAGAGTTTTGTTTCTTTTGTTTTTTTTACAACATAACACCAGGCTTTCATTGCACAGTGAAATACAAATAAACATTTATAGTGTGCTTGGGTGAAACTGTTCATAAAAGAATATGTTACGATTGCCTGTCAAATAAAAAGGTCCAAGAGTGTGTCTTGATATACAAAGGTCATACAGTCACTTAAAAACTCTACAGATAAACCTTTTCCTGTCTTGCTCATTTCCTGCCTTCAGACTTTAATTAATGTCAATGAATCAATGAATGACTAAATGTGGAAACTTCATTTTTTGTACATTCATTATTTAACTGGCAGTAGACCACACCATGACAGCTCTGGCTGCTGAGTCGTATGACATATTTTTAGGTGATGAGTGATTTGTAAATATGATGTTATTAAATTGTCAAAACATATGGCAATGCAACTGAGATAGTTTGGACAAACAGATAGGATATTAATGTCACAATTTTCCTTTTAGTCTTCTCCTGGTCAGCCTTGCAAAACAATACATCTGCGTCCAATTTGCTTCCATGTTATTTAGTGCGATGGTAATCAATTATATAATTTAATAGGAATTTTAATAAGAAAAAAAGCTCATAATCCAACTATTCTGACTCCTCTAAATGAAGTTGACCTTAGTGGTGAAGCTCAATATAGTGAACTGAGGAAAGAAGAAACTACTTCCTACATTTGACTGCACACATAATGTCTATAATGAAGCCACCAAAATGTAATTCTTTAATCATTTACTCACACTCATGTCATTACACACCTGTATGCATGTTTTTTCTTCTGTAGAACACAAAGATGATATTCTGATAAATGTCTCATGTTTTTTGTCTCTACAATGAAAATCAGTGAGATTCAGTGTTGTTTTGGACCCCACTGACTTCCATTGTATGGACCAATCAGTTGAAACATTCTTCAAAATATCTTCATTTTGTGCTGCAGAAGTAAGAAAGTCATACAGGTTTGGAATTGTAAATGGTGAGTAAATGATTACAGCATTTTTCATTTTTGGGTGAATTATCCTTGAGCCAAAGATTTCATTTCAACCACAAACAATGATAAATTCTTACCTGTCCGTTCTTCTTGAGGTCTGCCCACATACTGGTCCCATCTCCTCCTTTCATCAGGACATGGTATGTGAAGAAGTAGATACCAGGTAGAGGGCATGTAAATTTTCCAGTGCTGGGCTCATAGTAGTTGCCAACATTGGTCACCACATCATCAAACTTGAGCACATCAGTGCCTTCATGTTGCTTGCGCAGGCCTGCGTAAAACGCAACCTTAGGGCTGTAGAATGACGGCACGTAACCACCAGGCCCAGGACCTGGGGGCCCTTGTGGACCTGGCTTTCCAGGCTCTCCAGGTGGTCCTCGTGGACCAGGTGGTCCTGGGATTCCCGGAGGTCCCCGATACCCAGATTTCCCTTTCCGGTTTGGAAAATCAGGAGGTGCGGGTGAAACAGCCGTTAACTCCTGGCCATGAGATGTGGTGTAGGGGTCACAAACCATCCGACAACTTCCTAGCATTTCATAATGGCTTCCTGCGTTGCCGGCTCCTCCTCCTTTAGTGGTGTGGACCAGTAAAGGGATGGTGACCAGGAGAATCAGAACCATGGCCACACCCACGGCTGCTCCTATGACACGCTTGCGACGACTGAGCCGGGAGGCAGCAAGCGTTAGAAAGTCCTCCTCTCCTTTAGATGGAATGGTGCCCGCCAGCGTGAAAGGTGGAGAAAAACTCGCTAAAGTGTGAAAGCAAATGTATGTTGGGGTACAAAATAACAGCCAAAGAGCCACAGATATCTATAGAGGAATAAGGCCAGTGAGGAGAAGAATGAAAAGGAACAGTGGAGGCTGCAACAGAAAGGTGTGGCACGGAAAAAAATGATTAAGAAAGATGATTACGGGAACACACAGCTTATGGTCACCTATTATATGGGAACACTAGCAATATAATGCAATATGGTGTTTTTAAAGTGTTGGAATTTCCTTGTAAATAGCAAAACAGATCTTTTCATTCATCCCCTTGTTTGTTAACATTAAATATACAATGAATTTTCAATACACAGAAGATGCTTTGAGGTTTTCTTTTGCATTAAGTGAACAAAAATGAACTGTTTTTGGTTTTTCCACTTCAAAATTCCTGTCCACCTAACAAAAGATGTGCAATTGAGCAATTGCAAAATTCAGTTCATGAGAGGCTAGACGAAATCACAAAGTTATCTGCTTGCAAAACAAAATTCAAATCAAGTCCAACCAAATACCTAAAAGATGTGCCAAAACAATCTGTCATCCAATGTTCCACGTTTCAAAATAAACTGATCCCACACAATGAAATTTGTCCAACGCCCTGCATCAAAACCTGATGAGCCACAATGTATTGATCCTTCAAAATATTATTATTATTTGTTTTTTAAGGGATATATGGAAGACCCCCGTAGTCGCTCTGGCGGGGCAGGGAAAATTCCACAGAAACAGAACTAGAGGAGGAAAAACACAAAAAGACA